CACTTTCATATTAAGATTTTCAAAATCAAAATGGTGCTTTTTACGTTAAGATCGGATATCTGATTAGAATCTTGTTTAATCAAATGTGTTGTATAATATGTAAAACACAGTCATTTAGAGCAAAGATGTTTATCTTATTTTTAATAACACATAGGAAAAGACATTTACGATAATAAATATATAATATATTCCAGCAAATTACGAGATGCAATCTACTGGCTAACATATAAAATATGTGTTGTTTTGGGCTTATACATATAATAATCAACATAATCTCAATATTTTTATATTCGTTTCTTATGTCATTATTAAGTATATTATAAAATATCGACAAATGACATCACTAGAATCAGGTGTCAAATACGATCAATACATCGGACGCAAGCATTTAAGTCAAAAGAAGCGCTTTTTATAGAACCATGTCGAAGTGAAACCGTAGAGGTAACAAAGAGGGTTCCTCTCCATCATTAACTCATACTGACTTAGACAAGGTTCCAAGCTAAACAGCGGGAGGTCCACCTGTTAATAAAGTGGATTTGTCGACATCGAAATAGCAGTTAACGGGCAACACTAATGCATTGCAACGCCTTAGCTTATTTTGATTGCTTTTGAATTTGGAAATGTATGAAATAACTTATCAGAAAGGTAGACGTCTAATTAACTCTAGTACCTAATTTGATATATATTCTGTATTATTTTAATTAATTGTGTTAAGATTAGTAATCAATACTTGTACTTTTCCTTTCGGTCCTTTCATAAAAAAAAATCAGCAATTAGATACTACTTGTCGAGGTAGATTGTAAAATAAACTATAGTGAAAAAAATCTACGAGCTGAAGGATGTTAATTGCCACAATTACTAATAGCTACGTTTTATCATAAGGACACTTTTATCAATTATTTGTTGGTTCTATAGTCACTAGAAAAGTATGCAACTAATAAACAAGAATACAAGTTTACTGACTATGCCGTTAGAACTGACGAAATATCTCCGACGTACAGAGGTTAGAACACTAAACTAATAAAGTAGCCAGTTGTATAAATGTGAAATGCTATTCAAATTTCATTATTCAATAAACTTTCCGTGAGCGCCGTTCCATTCATAAACCGATAAATTACAACGGAATTAAATTGACCAAATCCAACAAATTTATTCAGAATTATCGACTAGTTTCCGAGATATTACTGAAAAGATAGGCAAGTTCGTGACCTATGCGGCGCCATGCGTGATAAGAAATGTAAAATTTAGTCTAAATTATTTATACGAGCGATTTTATTCGCCCGCTTAAGAACTTGCCGCCATTTTAGATAAAAGGCGTCTGCAGCCCGTTTTATGTTAACTCACGAAACGGGACATAAAAGCGATATCGCTAATGCAAATATATTGTTGTATTCGGAGAAAGTGCAGGAGTTTATTAAAAATATGTATATATTGTATTTCCTATAGTGAAAACATAGTAAAACTTAGTAATTTGGACGCGATAATTAAATTAAAATTAGATATTTAAATCTATCATAAAATATAACTGTACCTTCAATACTGAGGCACCTCGACTCATAATTGTAATAAACACAAATAAAATAATACGTGATCAATATATCTGATCACCTAGATATCTATTTGCGCAGTGTGTAAACAATCTGGAACCGAACTCTGTTTTATTCATCGAAATTAGGAAATATAAAAATTAGGAATGCGACTACAATATATTGTCTGGGGTTTTTACAATCAATAAAGTAGTGTTGACGTTCTATTTTTATCGATATCGAATTAAATTATGGTCTTAGCCACCGTAGATTAATAGATAACGTAAATTTTATGTATAAATTTTAAATCCATTTAAAAACTAAACGAGTGACGCGGCTTAAAAATACTTTTTTTTAAGTTGTAGGAGATCTCAACACGATGGCTGTTGACCTATTTTGGATTGAATCCGACAGAAGCCGAAATACTTTTTAAACTTCACGGCTTTTTCAACTTTGGGCGATGGTTCACTATCCGGTCATAATTTTGATATTTCTACCAGTATCTGGATTTCCAGACGAAGTCCAATCGAAAATTATAAATTGATTTATGATCATTGTTGACCCGGTAATCGAATCCGGGACCCGTTGATTAAATATGCTATAGGTACATTGCTACAATTTGACCAATGAGCTCTTCGATTTTATAATATTTTTTTAATTGTTAAATAAAAATTATGCTTTATTATTATTTTTAAAAGCAGGATGTTTAAAGAAATGTGCGAAACATGTTCAAAGGCGATGGTAAGATTTGAAGTCCATAGGGTCACAGAGTTCAGAACGGGTCAAGGTTGGTCTTTAGGACCGATGCACTATAATAAGCGTATTATCTCGCTATCATATGGAAGAGTTAAATGCACTTTTACTTATGACCGGGTTCATGTTTTTAAGGTAACTATAAAAATATTAAATTTAAAATTTTGGCTTACATTCTGACGACGAAGTTTTATTTTATTATCTCATAATGATCTAAGTTTAAGTATTAGTTGATTGTACTATATTTACGATTTTTACTGTCTACTTAATTTAGTTACAAGTTTTACTGAATACCTACAGATTAACCAAAGGTAATTAATTTAAGAGTGTTGTTTATTTATTTACAAGCTTTACCTATGTATTGATCACATTTCATATTTAATTTTATTATTGATATTTATATATTAGTATAATTGTAATAGGTAGTACAATACTTGAAAAACATCGAAAATATGTAATGTTTTATCAATAAATGTATCGAGAATTATAACATGTCCACAGGCTTAATAGAAACTGTCATTACCCGGTAATAACTGCGCGTGAGTGAAAGACTGGGTTCCCAAGATTCATTCAATTTTTTATCTTTAAGGCTATCTCAGTCTCTTAGATAATTACGTAAAGCTAACCAGTGATTACTTGCATCAATGTCTAAATAGACATGATATTGAGAGATTTCTTTAACAGCTCGAATAATAAGCTGGCAACACTATTATTACAATGTATCGCATGACATTTATTAGTTGTTATTATGCAATTTTAACTGGCTATTTGCTAAAGGATATTTTTCTAAATTGGCAACTTAGGGACATTTACGCCTGCCTTGACGGCTAAGTGATTGCAAATGATTTGTATAAATTGTACTTACTTCATTGTACGTTGTGAGAAATAGTTTTACAAACTAAACCTGCGTTATCCAGACTATATATTTATTATTTCAAATCTCTGACAAAGTTTTATGTTTTTTGTTTCTGAAAGTATTTCTGTTTTTTTTTGTATAAATGAGTTTTTATTCTAATGAGATTATGAACTTTGTATTGATACTATAAAAAGTTGTGTCTGGCTAAAAGTTATCCTCTATTTTTTTCTATGTAGACGAACGATGTACATAAAATGCTATACCTATCTATAATCTGTCTATAAATAAAATACTGTCCATAGTTTACGTGAATAGTAAACTAAAACACTAACTGTTTAAAACGCGATATATTAGTTAACCTTATTTGAAGATGATTTTTAACTTCGGCCCGACTTTTCGGATGCTTTGCAGCAGCCGTGGTCACGGGGAGACTAAAGATGAAGGATGTCTCTGACGTCAAAGTAAAAAATTGCTACGCTAGCGCCATCTGTTCCGTCGAAGTTGGCATTTGGCGAAACTGGCTGGGTCTTTACAGAATTGACTAACAGTGTCTTCGCGTTTGCCGGTATGCTGTTTATTGGGATCCAGAGTTTTAATTATGGGATCCCAGGTGTTAGATAATTTGAGGCCGTCCTCCCTATTGAAATTTCAGTGTTTTTTTGATTACAATTGCTTCGCGTATCAATCTTGGAGAAAAAGTCGACTCTCCTTTGCGAGGATTTTTGGCTGGTCAAAGCGAATGTAATGATTGGGCCCTTTCGATGAGTATTGGCATGTAGTTAAAAAGCATAAGTTAAAAATCATTTTCAAATAAGTTTAACTAAAATATAGCGTTTTAAACCGTTAAAGTGTTTCATTTAAATGTCTATAAATAATTCAACTTTGCTTTTCTATAATTTAAATCTTGTAAGTTATAATGTTCTTGAATTGTTACTGTACTTTAAATTATATATTGAAAGTGTATGAACTTAATAAAGCAATCATTATTTTAACTAAACGCCATTAGAAGTTGTATAAGACGACAATAAATTCCTACAAAGAAAACTATCTATCCATCACCAAGATTTCCAACACTTAAAATGAAATTTATATAATTGCAAATCTTGATTTATGGCCCATTAGACATGGCTAAGCACTGTGGCTACTTCTAGGCAACAAGTTAAGACAATTTATATGTAAAACAGATTTATCTTAAATAATGCTCGATTTGCACCAACAAATTCCTGAATTGGCTTATTTGCATAAAAGTGGTGCTCCCCTTATCTTACCCGGCAGTCGGTTTATGAAAACTTTGTTATCTAATTAGCCCTCGGGGGTTAATTGATTTTTTGACTTCCAATTTTAATTAATATGTTATTATTTTAGATGAGTTTTGTTTTTGTTTGTTTTGAAAATGTTAATTTTTTTAGCGCTAAAAACGAAAGTTGTTCAAATGTTGTATTTTTTCTCATAAATACGTGTTTAACCAAACCATATTTGAAGAAAAATCTAAAATATTTGAACACTCAACATTATAATTACTAACTATAATTTTTGGGACGGGCGCTGTTACCGCGTATTTTGTTAGGTAATTAATTGTATGTTTATTTGTTCACGTACATCATCGTTGTGATAGTTTAATAATAGATCTATCGATATTTTCTTTACGCCTAATTCTGAAAGTAGTTTTTATATTTCAATAGATTTTTCGCGGTCCGGCCAAAGTTCAAAGTTTAAGCGGTCTTCGCGTAAGCACGTCACTATCGAGCACATCACTAAAGCACATCACTTTCACTGCCTACGTACCCTCGCAAGTGAACTGGCCGTAGTGCTTCCCCGAGGACTTGTCTCCGCAAACGACGCACTCCACGTTCTGTTGGCCTTTGATGTCGGTGACGGAGGAACCGCTTTGCGTCGACGCAGCCTGGCTGGCGGGCGTAGACGGCAGCAGCTCTTCATCGCGCCAGCTACCGCGGAAGCCGAGCTCTAAGGGCGGGTGGTCGGAGCCTCTCGGAGGGCAAAGGCCCGGGCCACCGACCCCGCCGTATACTAGCGCGCCGTGCGTGATGGTGCCGGTTGCGGTCGACGGCAGGACGCGGTCGCGCGCGTCAAACGTGTGTCAAGGGTCGCGGCTGAGTCGCGACTGAGTCGGGTCGTGGCAGGCCGCGCCGCTCCGCCATTGGCCCGGTGGCCCGGGGGCAGAGCGAAGGCCCCGCCACCTCCGAACCCCCCACTCGGGGGGGAAAATCTTTCAGCCGGTACGGTCTGAGCGAAAAATGTGTTGTTTTCGACGTTTTTAAATTTCGAATTCGAATTAGGAGATTGTTTGAATTTGGAATTATAGGTACATCGCTTCTTTATATTTTAGTATGTGTATTAATTTTATATGTTGCATTTAGTAAATATCAATTAGATATTGATAGCTTTTTTTAGACCGTTCTTTATTGAATGTTTTTTTTTTACTTTAAATATTACAATATTCTTGTTAAGCAAACAAAAAATCTTTCAGCAAACCTTTTTTAAGAATAGCAAAACTTGCTTTTTTTATAAGAATAACTAAGTAGGAAATCGTAGTTACTTAAAAAATATGTTGTGTTAAAAAGAAGTTTTTTTTTTTTGCATTTGCACACCGTACCTGAAAATCCTACTTTGTATCAACTTTCCGACGTCCATATTTCTGCGGTAGCTCGTAGCTAGCTACGGTACCTATAGCTCCGTATTATCATACTTCCTTCACAGCCTTCAGACAGATGTTTTACTCAACTAGTTTTTGCGTTCGCCTTTCAACGCGAACTAGGGCCGCAGATTTTCTCGGTTTTACTAGGCTATAATATATAATAAGTACTATGCTTATAAGCATATTTATTTACAATATAGATATAATTATAACCGTATTGTTTTAGTTTGATTGATCATGGATGAATGGAGTCTAGATGTGATTAAATATCTTTATTATCATGTACCTAGGAGAATGTGAAAAATATAAGTATAATACTTAGATCTAGATCTAATGATAAATAAGCTGTCTTCAAATAAAATTAAGTACTATCTTTTACTTTAATAATTTGCTTGGGACTCTTTTTGATTTGATATTTACCAGAAGATTTATTTTTTTGTTTCGCTAAACGTATCCTTACGATCTTACTATTGAAAAAAAATAAATTCCGTCACCCAACAATTTAACTAAGACCACAATCTCAAAATAAATCATCAATTGAATTCGTTAGCAATCGATCAATTAATGATTGCGCGCATGATCTACAAAAATGATCGATCCGGCGCGATCTAGATAAATCTAGATCACGGGGCGTCGATGGGCGGGGCGACGCGCGCCACTCCTGCGCACTCGTCAAGCGCGCGTCGCTTGCGCATCACGTCTGTCAATGTCAGTGATTTTATTTTTTTATCGTCGTGCCGTATGCCTTGTTGTCAAATACAATGCGAATGTTTTGCATTGTCCATTTTAAATCAAGATTCTTGAACTTTAAAATAATTTGTTTGTTAGAGTGGGTAATTTAACTGCCTTGTTATTAGTAGAAGCAATATTTAATGACAATATGATGAAAATTCTTATTGGAATTTGTTTAAATAATTATATAATTACGAATCTTTATTTTTTTAGACATTGAACCAAGAAGCTCATAAGCTATTTTTATAGCTCTTACCAAATGATGTCGATAACTACCGACATAATAAAATCTATTTCTATATTTGTATTATCCTAGATTAAATCTGGTTAAAAATAATAGCTGGACTCCTTGAGGACGTACAGCTAGAGTTTTAATAAGGAATGAGGTGAAAGGGCGGTAAGGCGGGTCAAAGGTCGGCCCGCCCACCACCCTTATAAATATATATTGTAGGGAAAACTCCAAGAAGTATTTTACAATTTTATGTAGTACAGGGAAATGTTCACAAACGATTATTAGTGATTTTTTTCACTGTTATAAGTAGGTACTCGGTATTCTAGTCGACTTTTGAAAATCGAACGGTCTGTACGATTCTCGTCTGTGGTACGTGATGTCAACAATGTTTCATTTTAAAACTTTAAAATTAGAACACACTGAAAGAAAATATTTAAAAAAACAAAGATTAATTTTATTTTTTTTAAGTTGCCAGTGTTTCCATCCCTATAGGTCTGTAACTTTTTACCTCAGAGCTAACTAACTAAATCATAGATACTTATATTAAATTTGGCTCATTATTATCTGCAGTAGGGTTAGATAGAAACTAGCAGGTCAGATTTAACTATGTAAACTAAGATATACTAGATATACCTGCACCCAATTACTCAGCCCGCTGGGGGAGTTAGGGGGGGTGGAACGTTGTCACGATCAATGATAAGCTTAAGATGAAGTGCTATCGTGGCTATAGTTTTGCGCTCTTTATCCGTCTATCCAAAAGGGGATTTACTAAGTTTTTTGGTCTTCGCTTCTGTTGTTCTGTGAAAGCTACATCCTGATTTTAAGAAAATATTTCCAAGCTGTAGGTATTAATGTAGCTACATGTGTACATATTACATTCATTTTATATTATAATCTCAACTAACTAAGTAAAAACTTATAATCTACCTAACTTACCTACCTATAAAGACAAAATTAACACAATTTTGTTCTTATACACGAAGCTGAGTAATTTAATAAAAAAATACAGACTACAATTTATAGTAAGAGATACTAAGTAAGCATAAATGTAAATACTGTCTATAGTTTACGCGAGTAGTACACATTTAAATAAAACACTTTAACGGTTTAAAACGCGATATATTAGTTAAACTTATTTGAGAATGATTTTTAACTTCGGCCCGACGTTTCGAATGCTTTGCAGCAGCCGTGGTCACGGGGAGACACCACGTCTCCACGTGGGTTTTAAACCGCGTTTTAAACCGTTAAAGTATTTTATTTAAAAGCATAAATGTGTCACAGATAATTTATGTTTAAAAGTAAATTAAACATAAATAATAAAACATCATAAAAGCAAACCAAATTATTGCTATAGACATTCTATGATACAAATACAAGTATACAAAGAAAAACAATTATATTTTACACATGTCTTTACCCTTTAACCCACTTTTAACGAGTTTTATTTGCTAAAGATGGAAGCGCGTTCCTAAATTATCTTCGCATCGCCAAATCGACGAAGAGGCGATTACAAATAAACTCAAACAATCCCAAATAAACTTAAACGACAACAAACGAGTGATTTAAACGACACTTGGTTGTTCTTATTAAGATCGATAGCGTATGTTTTAATTCGAAACGATTGATTTATATCGAAGCATGCTATTTTGTTGGGCTTTTGAAGTTTTGAAGTTCTCTTAGCGTTTAACACTATATAATTAACTATAAAACGCCGCAAAAAGTATATGTCAGAAAGTGTAAACCCGCCTCTTCTACATCGAGCATGGGACATTGTATAATCGTTCAGAAATTGCTTTATTTAGATAGGTATATAAATAATATAATTTTGTTATTTTGCCATATGAAGTGTTTCGACCGAATTTGATTACTACAAAAACGGTTCAAGTGAGTTAATCTTAAGAGACAAACATATTATACTGTTGCGAACATTTTTTTAGATTAATGAAAGAACAATTTTGTACATAGGTATAGGACTTGTAATGAAAATTTAAATTAAACGAGCTTTCGTAGAGTTTGTTATACAGTATATTGCTGTCATAATATTATGCTTGTTTGATATTGAAGACGTTGGGAAGCTACACGAGATATCGCGTCATATAAAGCAGAAACGCGATAACCCATAACCTTCTTATCTTCAGGAAAAATAGGTTAGGACGAGAGCAAAGTGATGCGCTGTACTTTTTATCTATACGTATATTATAAAGCTAAAGAGGTGATTTATTTGTGTGTGTGAACTTGCTATTGTCAGAAACTAATAGACCGAAGAAACAGTGGGAAACGTGGAAAAAATTGAAAAATTTGTTCATCTTTAAGGGTGTCCGTTGCTGCAAAAACGGTTCAGGATAACCAAAGTTAAGTAGGAAAGAATTCTCCGTTAAATGGTCTAGAAATATCGGAGACGATATATGTCTTTCTTTAACGAGTAACATGCATAAAAGACAAGACGCGGACGACGTTGTGGGTACCAGCTGTAATATATAAAGAAGAGGTTTGCAAAAACAAATTTTGATGCCCAAATTTGCAAATGCGGATAAAGTGGCAGGCACAGCTAGTATTTAGTTATGTTTTAAAATACCAGACATCAAAACATGAAGCGAGCATTGAAATCGACATAAAAATGTGAAGTCTTTCAGTGAAACGGATCGGAGCGTATTTTCGGTCAATCAATGAAATTCGGTGGCGAAATCGCCGTCCGCGTCGAAGCGTGAAATCGCATCAGAGTCAATTCGAGCGGGACCGATGGTTGCGCGCCTCTGACCGACCGATTGGGGGCCACTTTTTCGACTTTGATTTGATTTAATCCATACTGATATATAGCTTATAATATCTTTCAAATAATTTTTAGAATGCACGTAAAATAATTTTAAAAAGAAAATGTTGGGCAACAAATTACAGCAGAAATTTGAAGAAATATTATATGTATTCTTATTCTAGTGTTACTATATTAATTTTTATGTGTGTTAAAGTAAATGGCACTGTTCTTCTAAACTGCTTCTAAAGTCTAAAAATGAATTTATTAGGTGGTCGATAACGGTATATATTTATCTGATTGGAATATCTATGTACTTTTTTTAATGATAGATGAAGACAGGTAAGCATGGGGTCAATTGATGATAGGTGAATTATCCCAGGCATATAACGATGCGCTATCGTATAGTCATACTTTGATGTCATTAAATCAATGAGCCAATCAATAGCTAAGCAATTCAGGATAACTGAAAACCTCTTATACCACATCGGAGAGCATTATCTCATATATCGTAGACTAGTTATTAAAAAAATCAGCCGTCTAGCCCTAATCCGTCTAATAATTCGCATTCGCAATATCGCGTCTCTTTGTGCGAAGGCGACCAATTGTGCAGAACCCCTGGCTGATCACTTAATTGACTACACGGTGAGAGGTTTTCGGGAGCGCCGTGCGCTCCGTCGCTATCCCCTTTTTCGCATCCATCGACGGTTATCTACGTGATTCGTTTTCGAATATGCTAATAAAATACGCAATGGTT